TCCCTTTTTGGGTTCAATTATCAATAATTTGCTAAAGCAGCCCATGGAACTCAGGCAAAAAAAAAAAAAAAAAAAAAAAAGCTCACAGAACTCAGGAACTCAAAAAAAAGTAAACTTAAATTTACTGGCTGATTATGAAGGATATTCCAAAGAATAGAGGAAGAAATGTGTAGAAATACAAAGAATATGAGAGATGGTGTGGGGCTTCCATGCCTTTCTTGGGAACCCTCCAAGAACCTCCATCTGTTCAGCTATCCAGAAGCTCTTCAAACTCTGTCCTTCTGCGTTTTATGGTGGCTTCATTACACAGGTAAGACTGATTAAACTACTCGCCCTTGGTGATCGACTTAACCTTTAGTCTTTCTTCCCTCCCTAGAGGTTGGAGGTTACAGTTGGAAGTCCCAACTGTCTAGTTCTGCCTTGGTCTTTCTGGTTATTAACCCCATCCGGAAGCTACCCAGGGGCTGCCAGCCACCAGCCATCTCATTAGCATACAAAAGACATGTAAAAGAAAAGGGTGTGGTGGCTCATACCTGTAATCCCAGCACTTTGGGAGGCTGAAGCGGGAAGATCACTTCAGGTCAGTAGTTCAAGATCAGCCTGGTCAAAATGGAGAAACACCATCTCCACTAAAAATATAAAAATTAGCACATGCCTATAATCCTAGCTACTCAGGAGGCTGAGGTAGGAGAATCACTTGAACCTGGGAGGCAGAGATTGCAGTGAGCCAAGATCACACCACCGCACTCCAGCCTAGGTGACAGAGCAAGACTCCATCTCAAAAACAACAACAAAATTTCCAGACCCCAAAATCACTAAGCCAAAGGGAAGTCAAGCTGGGAACTGCTTCAGGCAAACATGCCTCCCATTACTAAACACATACCTCCCTCATAATTTGCCCACAATGAAATTCTTTTTGGACAAAGGACACACAGAATTAATGAGATAAATGCGTATCTGATTGCTTCCTCTGCCCTATTTCACTAAGCCAGACTAAGGCATAAGTGACTACTCCTCTACCCTCCTCTCACATGTAAACTGCGTATTCAGTGAAAGGCTAATCAGACTCAAAGGAATGCAACTGTTTGTCTCTTATCTACCTACGACCTGGAAGCCCCCTCCGTCGCTTCAAGTTGCCCCACCTTTCCAGACCAAACCAATGTACACATCACATATATTGGCTGATGTCTCATGTTTCCCAAAAACACATAAAACCTAGCTGTGCCCCAACTACCCTGGGCACATGTCAGGACTTCCTGAGGCTGTGTCATGGGTCTGTCCTTAGCCTTGGCAAAATAAACTTTCTAAATTGACTGAGGCTTGTCTCTGTTATTTTGAGTTCACAGACATCACTGAAAATTCTAAGATTTCAAGAGTTGTATGCCAGGAAACAGGTCAAAGGCTAAATAGGTATTTCTCAATAGCACAATCTTGGATTGCCCAAGTGCGTTCAACATAAATATAAGGGTCCTCTTTATAAAAGGGTGGCAGAAGGATCAGAGTCAGAAAGAAAAAGAAATTGCAAGATGGAAGCCATGCTGCTGGCCTTGCAGATGAAGAAACACCTGCTGAAGGCAGCTTCAGAGCTTTGCCTTTCAGAACTGTAAGAGAATAAATGAGTATACTTTGAAGCCATTAAGTTCGTGGCAATTTGTCACAGCAGCAAGAGAAAATGAACAGACTGACCCTTCCATCATGTCCTTCCAGTCCTCATGCCCAATATATGGGTTTCTTTTGCTCTGTCAGTGACCTGGTGCTGGAAACATCTGTAATTTGGGGGAATTATAGGGCTAGGGTGAGATGAAGAGGTCAGCTGGTGATCGCTGAAGCCGGCCTGTGAGGCCACTCCTTTAAGCCCTGCCTGCCTCCCTCTTGCAGGTGCTTCCTCTTGCAGAACTTCTGACTGACTGGCTTTAAGTTGGGGTTCTGGTAACTCCCTTTTTGAGTTCAATTATTAATAATTTGCTAAAGCAGCTCACGGAACTCAAGCAAAAAAAAAAAACAAAACAAAAAAATGCTCACAGAACTCAGGACCTCAAAAAAAAGTAAACTTACATTTACTGGCTGATTATGAAGGATATTCCAAAGAATAGAGGAAGAAATGTGTAGAAATACAAGGAATGTGAGAGGTGGGGTGGGGCTTCCATACCTTCCTTGGGAACCCTCCAGGAACCTCGTGCACACACGTGCACGCACATCCAGACCTCCCTCATGCTGAGGAAACTCAGGAGCCTACCTTGTTTCTGCCAGGGTCAAAGGGAAGGGTGAGGCGGCTCCTTACAGTTTCCCATTCCTTTTCCTGGTAAACACATGATTCTGGGGTCAAACACCCGAGAGTGACAAGTGTTCCCATCAGCTGTGTTACCCTGGGCAAGCCACTGAACCTCCCTGTGCCACTGTTTCCCCACCTCTCAATTGGGAACAATATAAAACCAATTTCTGGAGGGAGTTGTAAGCATGCAGAGTCAAATTCGGGTCCTACACCCCCACCCCCATGCCAGGGCCTCCCTGCTAGTTCCTGAACGGACTACCACAGCCCCAACTCACTTCCTTCGGTCTGCTCAAACCTCACCTTCTCAGCAAACCTCACTAACCATTCTATTTAGTAATGCAAGCTGCCCCCACCCCACCTACCCTTCACAGCTGGTTTAGATATTTCTTTCTTCAGCAGCTCTCATCACGATGTCATATCCTACAGAATTTGCTTACTTATTATGTCTAGGGCTAACTGTAAGCCACCCTGAGGACAGAAGTCTCTGTATTCCGAGTGCCTTAGACCAGCATCAAGCACACAGAAAGAAGGTAAGTGTTTGCTAACTGAATGACTGAATGGCTCTGTAATACATATTGACTTTCTTTACCAATACTTTTTCAGGGAGCCTTCCCTCACCCACGAAGCCGGGGTAAGGGTGTCTTTCACATGTATCAGGAATGACTTCCTCACAGCAGAAATACGTTCTATTATGAGCACATTCGCCTTTGGGCTTCACCTCTCGTCCTCCACCGGACAATGAGCTGACCAATGTTCTCAGGTGTGCAGCTGTGTGACCTTGGGTAAGTTACTGAACCTTGCGCGGTCTCACCTCCCTCCTTTACCTTCACAAAAGGAGGACAGAGGGCTGCTGGAGGATGAGATGAGGTCCTGTGAGTCACTGCTCCATTGAGGCAAACTCTATTTATCATCATTGCTGTTGAGGCTACCAGTGCCAGGTGGGGTCAGTTCTGTGGGCTGTGAGTTTGGGAAAAGGACACATTGATCGTCCTTTGCCCATGTGCTCAGGTGTGTCTGTTGAATGTGTTCAGTGCCTGGGCAGCAACATCACCTCCTCAGTTAAGAATGATGAGAATGAAAGCTGTGCTGGATCCTTTATATGCATTACACCATCGCCTTTAGCTTTTAATGGCAAACCAACCATCCAGCGTTCCTATTTTGCATCGCGGGGATGAAAGAAGGTCGATAACCTGCCTGTTATCACACAGCTTTAACTGATGGCGCCTGGATTTGCAGCCCTATCCACAAGCTGCACACTCTGCACTCCTCATACAGCGCAGGAGTCCACTGTCCACCCTGGCAGGGTATGGGAGGTGTCAGTGTGGCGAAATCCTTCCTGAAAACATCCCCATATGTACATTTCCATCATAGTAGAGTGGCCGTAGGAGTTAGGGAAAATTTGAGCACATCATGTTAAGACTGAGGAGTGGGCCGGGCGCGGTGGCTCAGCCTGTAATCCCAGCACTTTGGGAGGCCGAGGCGGGTGGATCACAAGGTCGAGAGATTGAGACCATCCTGGTCAACATAGTGAAACCCCGTCTCTACTAAAAATACAAAAAACTAGCTGGGCATGGTGGCGCGTGCCTGTAATCCCAGCTACTCAGGAGGCTGAGGCAGGAGAATTGCCTGAACCCAGGAGGCGGAGGTTGCGGTGAGCCGAGATCGCGCCATTGCACTCCAGACTGGGTAACAAGAGCGAAACTCCGTCTCAAAAAAAAAAAAAAAAAAATACTGAGGAGTGAGGGCTGGTGACAAACTGAGCAGACTGGCCTTTGATTCTGACTTTTCTGAATGAGGCTTCCTTCGTACAGAGATGGGGACCAAGGGGTCTTCCCTAAATCCTGGACACCTGAATTCTGGGCTTTGTTGGACCTTAGGACAGTGGTGTGCTGGGAATGTTTAACAAGCAGCTTGTGGCAGGGGTGACTTATAGTGTTTACTAACTTCCATGGAGTAAATACCCTGATACGGTTTGGATCTGTGTCCCCATCCACATCTCATTTTCAATGATCATCCCCAATGTGGGAGGTGGGATCTGGTGGGAGGTCACTGGATCATGGGGGTGGATCCTTCATGAATGGTTGAGCACCATCGCTTTAGTGCTGTTCTCATGACAGAGTTCTCATGAGATCTGGTTGTTTAAAAGTGTGTAGCCCCACCCTCCTTCCTCTTTCTCCTGCTCTGGCCATGTAAGGCACCTCCTCCCACTTTGCCTTCTGCCAAGAGTAAAAGTTTCCTGAGGCCTCCCTGGAAGTTGCTATGCATCCTGTACAGCTTGCAGAACCGTGAGCCAATTAAACCTCTTTTCTTTATAAATTCCCAGTCTCAGGTGTTTCTTTATAGCAGTGTGAGAATGGACTAATACATACTCCCACCACAGCAAGTCGTAAGCTATTGAGCAATGGCCTGGGTGAGCCAGCTCCAGCACACCACTGCTGCAGGGCCTTTGAGAGCAAAGCACTACTCTTTGCCTTGGAATTCGCACACTTTGGGCAGATATCCCTGAAGAGGAGAGGCGGACTAATGCCTATTTCTGTGGTTTGAGATATATCCCATAGCAGCTGCCCGTTAACAGAAAACTCTTTTGATTTCTTGCTTTGATCGCTTCTCGGCCTTTTGGCTAAGATCAAGTGTGATTTCTTGCTTTGAAACATGTTCATTTTTGCATATTACTTCATAATAAATCTGGGTTTGTGTTAATGTAAAAATCATGTTTTAAACGACTTACCAGATAAGCAGATCACTTGGCTTTCCCCTTCCAATTACTTAAGTAAAATGGATTGTTCCAGGAAGTTGTAAAGCTTTCATGCTGCAGTTTTCACATTGTTCAAGGATCCACCATATACCAAGCATCCAGGAAACCAATGAAGACTGAGACCCACTAAAACAGCTGAGGTTAGAATTCTTATCCAGTGCTGGAGGAGAGAAATTGGTATAACCTTAATGGAGGGCAATTTGGCAATGTCTTTAAGACCAAAGATACACATTCTTTATCCCTGTTGTATACTCTTTAATCCAGCAACCTTATTTCCTGTACATGTCTTTGGACATCTTTGCATATGTGCAAAATGAGAGACATACAGGGGTATTCACTGCGGCAGAATTTATAGAAAGAGGCAGTACATTCCCTTGGGTAAGGGGGTGGGCCTGCAGCAAGCTGTCTTGGTTTAATATTTAACTCTGCCATCCACTGTCTGTGTGGACTTAGATACTCTAGGTGTCCTCTCCAGGCCTGAGCTTCCTTATCTGTAAGATGAGACAATACACAGTAATGATTGTACAGGGCTGTGGTGAAGATTAAATGGGTCAAAATATATAACACATTTAAAGTAGTGCCAGGAAGCAGGGCCAATGCTAAGAATATTATTATTTTACTATTACTACCACTATCAGGAGACTGGAAACAACCTAACAGCCCATCAATAGGAAAATGGCTAAGTGATTATTACATGCATATAATCAGATGCCACATATTAAAAGGAACAAAGTAGCACCATATTAATGGTTCCTAATTGGGAGTAATTTTGCCCCAGAGGGGAAAATTGCAACGTCTGGGGCTACTTTTGGTTGTCACATCTGGGAGGTGGGGTGTCCGTGGCATCTAGTGAGTGGAGGCCAGGGATGCTGCTCACCATCCTGCAATCCACAGGACAGCCCTCCAGAGCAGAGAATGATCTAGCTCAAAACATCAATTGCACCAAGGCTGAAAACCTCCAAGATAAAATGGCATGAGGGGGAAAATACAGAAAAACCATTTAGAAAAAAGCAAAATACAGTATACAAACACATGAGTTTGAAAACCCTCTGGAAGGATAAACAAAAAGTTCGTAGCAGTGACTGTCCCTAAAGAAAGGAACCAGGTTGCATGCGTGGGAAATCCAAAACCTGCTTTCTTCTCTCTATGCTTTGGCATTTCGCGTTATGAACATATAATTACATCTTCAAAACAACAAATGAAATAAAAGAAGGCTGGATGGCACATACCACATCAAGGCAGGGCTATAAACTTGGCTCATCTTCTGAGTCCCTGATGATAGATGGGAAAGGGCTTTGAAAGGCACAAAGCTATGTCTTCCTGAGGTAAGGATGGCTGGAACCTGGATGGGAAAATGCTTCAAAGAGTTACTGGAGAGTGGTTGTGCCCTCCTTAGAGGCAAATAACTGAGGGGCTTTCCCCTCCTGCCCTAACACCCCTCTGAGCCTGGGGGGCTGTGCTGGGTCCTCATATACTGAAAAGCAGCCATTAAAGGCACTGCCACAGCCTCACTGTCTCCTTTGGGCCAGTTAGCTTTTGCTGTACCAGCTGTCAAACATTCAAAGATCACCCCTGGTCTGAACCTGCCAGCCCCAGAGGCCAGGGACATATGTAGGCAATATCTTCAAAGACCTCAGCACTGCTGTTACAGGAAGAACACAGGCTATGCACACACGTCTAGACTGCCATTTCTCCACTTTGCTTGGCAACAGATTAGATTTCCTCATTAAAGGATAGGGGTAGGAACACCCCTACTGTGAAGACTGTTTTTGACAAAATATCCAAGCACAGGTCACTCGCATCCTCCCCCTGACTCCTCCAAATCAATTTATCTCATTCCCAAAGGCCCCAAAGGAGCCTGGGCTGCAGGCACTGAGCTGTAGCTCTCAACCCTGTGGGTACATTACTCTCTGGGGAGCTTTCTAATAAATAGAGACAGCTGATGGCAGCACACTATGCCAGACCAATTAAATCAGAATTTCTGGGGATTGAGCCACTTGTTTGTTTGTTTTTTAAATAAAGCATTCCAGGTTGAGAGAAACACAAAGCCACAGTTTAGAATAATGCCTGAGTCTCAGAGTCTCAACCACAGGGCTAGAGATCTGACTTGTTTCTGTTCAAGTCCAGACCTCAAGGAAGAGAAAAGTCTTTGGTAAGATCAAAGTCAAACTCTTAGATTCGCTAATCCAGGGATTCCCAACGGTCACTGCTGGTGGCCATTCCTGGCTCTGGAGTTGACCAAGATGCCCATGGGAAACCTGGATACTGACTCTGAAAAGAGCACCTGCCAACACCCTGTAATCCTTTTACCCTGTTTTACTTTTCAAAATACCTAACAGCACCTATTATAGACATTTTTGCCTCTCCTACTAAATGCAATCTCCAGCTGAGTAAGAACCTTGCCTGTTTTGTTGAGAGACTAGCACAGTGCCCAATCCATGGTAGGCACTCAATGGCTGAATGAATAAATGCACCTTGGAGCTTACCTGGGCTGCAGGCCATGGACACCTTTCTTCTCATCTCAGAACACTATCCCTTTATCATCTCTTCCCTCCCTGCCTTCCCAGGATCCCTTGCTCTTCTCCCTATCATCATGCCTCAGGTCTGTCCACGGTGCACCTGCATCACAGTCCCCTCAACCAGAGTGATTTTGCCTCTGCAGGGGACACCTGGCAATGCCTGGAGACTATTTTTTTTGCTTGTCACAACCCAGAGAAAGGTGCGGTGTGCTATTCGCATGATAAATAGGGCCCAGGGTTGCTGTACAACATCCTATAATACACAGAATAGCACCGCCTCCCACCACCCAACAACAAAACTATCTGGCCCCAAATGTCATAGTGCCAACGCTGAGAAACACTGGTCTGGACAGAAACATTTCCAGACCCCTGTGTTATATGGAAACATCCCTTAGATCCTGACACTTCAAAGTTCTGTTCTTAACCCCATGTACTCCCTAAGGACATCTCCATCAGGAAGATCCTTTTGTCCTGACCCCACCTCCTCCAACCTAATGCTGCCCTCCCAGGACCCTGACTACACAATTCCAAATGTAAGCCCTGATCTAGACGTCCAAGATATTTTACATCTGGACCTGAAACCTTTACTCTCGGATTCATCCTTTTGCTTTTCTACATGGATTTGACTCTCCAGGTGTGGGATTATTATGCTAATAATAAAACGATGGCCATTTATGTGGCACTTCCTTGTGCCAAGTTCTACTTTAGCTCACCATAAACCTGAGGTTGGTTCTGTTATTACTACTGTTTTACAGGTGAATCTGAGGGGTGGTAGATTTAAGTAAGCTCTCCCACTCAGTCACACAGCTAGCCAGTGGTAAAACCAGAAGTCAGCACCAGAGAGTGGGGCGACAGTCTATGCTCTTAATTTTCCAAGCTATCCTTGTAGGAAGGGGACACAACCATTCGCAGCTTCAGAGGACGGCTCTGTCCTCCATTCAAATGCAAACATGCAGAAAACAGATGACGCAGGTGCTTGGCACGGGCAGAGCACCACTGCTCAACTGGAGATGGTCAGATGCCCTAGTATGAGGACAAAGACCACCCAGTCCCAAGTTCAGAGATGCAAACTCCTCCAGGATTCACCACTACCTCTGCCTCTGTATGGGGTCAGAGAAAAATGACCACCAGCACTATAACCAACACCTAAACTCGGTGATTATTATGTGACAAGCTCTGGGCAGGGTGTTTCAGGTATGTCATCCTGTTTAATCTTCCCAATAACACCCAGGAAAGTGCTATTAATATGCTATTTTATCAAGTATTTGGAAAGTCATGCACAATTAAACAGTCACAGATTTCCAGAGCAGCCTATCACACCTTACAGCTGCTCAGAAATCTCCCCAGGAGGGCCTTCATTTCCATGGTTACAGTAAGACATACACCAGAATGGCACAAACACACAGTCACACACTCACAACCGCAAAGCCACTGGGGCTAAGTGGCAGACAGACGCCCAGGCAAATCACACAGTAACCTCAGGATACAATAAACGGCTGGGTCAGCCTGACACACACACACACACACACACACTCTGTCTCCAGCAACAGAAATTTTCACACCCAGCGTTACACACCCACGCCTGGCTTCCCACAGGCTCCATTGTTTCCTCCGCGTGGGTCACGCTGCGGTACACACCCGCACTCCCGACACAGACCCCTCACACACAGGCACACACGGCTCGCCTCCCATGCGGCGCCCGCCTCACCCTCGGGCGCACAAGCCCCGAGAGCCACAGCGGCGCCAGGGCGCAAACCCCACGCAGGCGCGAGACCACCACCCACGCAGGCGCCCGCGCAGACGCCCACGCCATCGCGGACGCGCAAACCCACGCGCGCCCGGGCAGGGACGTCCACGCAGTAACCCACGCTCTCAAAGAGACACACCCACACTCTCGCCAGCCCCCTCACCTCGGTCTTCTCGGGCTCCGACCCCAGCGGCGACCACCGTGAGCGCCGCGCAGGGACCCCGCGCCTGCGCACTCCCCTCCGGGACCCCGGGACCGCGCGCCGCACCCCGCTCCACGCACGCACCACGCAGGTGGGCGCGTGGCCCCGCCCCCAAACAAGGCCACGCGGCGCGCGCTCTCCCGCCTCTTGGGGACAGTTCCACCAGACCCGGCCTCAGGCCCCGCCCCCTCAGCGCCACGCGCACAGGCGCTCTCGCGCATTCGGTACAGCCTTGGGGCGGGCGCGCGAGGCCCTGCGCCTGCGCACACCCCCGAGGTTGGCACGCGCACCGGACTCCTCGGCGACCGACGCGCGACCCTCTTTTAACCTTTCAGGAGCTCACGTGTGCACACCGAGGCCCTACCTCCCCAATTTGCCCACTTCCCCGCTCCCACACCTACCCGTTCCCGTGTGAGGGGTTATTGCCCCCCGCCCGCCACCGCCCTTCGCCCCCACATTTACGAGGTTTGGAGCCGGCCTCACCCGCGCGTGCGCACTACGCAGGCATCCTGCAACATCTAGAAGCGTCCGGGGTGCAAGGAGGCCGTGGAAGGTCCCACCCAGAACGTGAGGTGAAGAGGGCTCGGGCTGCGCCGGTTTTGATCTGTCCGGGTCTGAGACGAACTGACCCGGGAATGTAGCGTAGGGATGTTTCTTTCGGTCAAGAGCGGGGACTCACCTGCACCTTCTGCGAAGAGGCCCACAGTCCTTCGCGTGGCGCCCGGACTTCATTTCCCAAAGGCCCCTGCGTGGCCTGTGGCGGCTGGTCGGTGAGCCGCTGCGCCTGCGCAGCCGGCGGGCGGGCGGTGAGACTGTGACTGAGACGGGGGCGGTGAGGCTGTCCCGGGCGGGGAGAAGCGGGTGGGAGGGAAGAAGGGGAGAGGAGGGGAGAAGGGGCCAGGAGGGGAGAAGCGGCGAGGAGTGGGCGGGCAGCGGAAGGTCCGGGGTGTCCGCGGTAGAGTTGTGTGAGGTGACCGTGGCGTGACTTTGAGTCTGTGACAGAAGGTGTGAAGTGCGGCCTCGTCCGGGTCCTCTGGGCGTGCGGGTGCCGGGTTTTGATCGCGCGGTTGTGTGGGTGAGACCCACTTGGTGTTACCCTGAATTGAAAAAGCGTCAGGACGAACCGTTGCGTTTCCTTCTACGTGTGTCGCTCAGCCGGTTTTTGTGGTTTCGTGCGGGGTGGAGGACGCTGACGGTGAACGTGTGTGCTCGTGGACATTTGTTTAGCTTCTCCATCCGCTTTCGCCGAAGGGCGGAGCTGAGTAGGTGGACCACGTGCTATGTGGCCGCAGAGAGCCGGAAATATTTACTGTTGATTCTAGAGCCCAGCTTTTGCGGTGTGTACATCTCTGTGGGGAACCACTGGCTTCGAATATGTCTAATTGTGTATATTTACGTATATCCTATGGCTGCTTTTGCACAATGGCAGGGTTCAGTACCCATAAAGCTTAAAATACTATCCGACTAACTCTTTCTTTTTTTTATATATTTTTTTATTTTTTTTATTTTTAGAGACGGGGTTTCACCATGTTGGCCAGGATGGTCTCGATCTCCTGACCTCATGATCCGCCTGCCTCGGCCTCCCAAAGTGCTGGGATTACAGGCGTGAGCCACCGCGCCCAGCCCCGACTAACTCTTTCGAGCCCAGTTTTTGTGCTTGATTGTGTGTGGGGGAAGCCAGTGTTTTTGACTGTGTGTGTGGGTACCCCCCTGTGTGTTGAGACCCAGTTTTTATGGTTATAGAGGTGGGTATATGTGTAAGGAGAACCCAGGGCTTGTGATTTCTCCCAGGTGACTCTGAACAAGTTTTGGGGACTAGGTAGTAAGGAGAATGTGTGAGGGACTAGTTTTGGTTTCCCATTTTTGTGACTAGGTAGTGGTAATAATGAAAATAAAAGCTAACAGATATTACTGTTAGGGCTTTTACAATTACCTGTGTGACTAGCAGCTAGCACTTACTGATTGCTGTCCCTGGTCAAAAGTGAATTTTTCCATTTAAGGTTTTCTTTAATCCTGTAGGCCGTCCTCTGAGTTGTTCCTTGGAGCAAGTTTCCTTCTAGACTGGAAATTGTAAGGGGTGTGGCCAAGAGATCCAAGAAACCTTAGGAGAAATCTGTCACTTGGCAGTTTTTTGTTTTCTTTAAACCACCTCCCAAGAATGTGTGTCTTTCTTCCTGCTGTTTTAGGGGTGCTTTGGTTCAAGAGTCTGGGAAGCCCTGGACTGAGGGAAAAGCTTTATGCCTCAAGACTGCATGTCCTAGTTCAGAGAAACTAGAGTGCGAGGGTCAAATGTCTTGGATCCTGATTAGGCTCTGTTGTGCCTATTCTCTGAATGAAGCAACTGTCTCCCAAGACACCCTTGAGCTTTCTAAGATAGAACGTTTGTCCCAGAGTTCAGGTCCAGAATCCAGTCCTGGCATTGGATTTGGTCAGACCTACCTTCACTCTTACCCCAGGACTCCCCGCCCCCTCCCCTCTGTCCCAGGTACCCATGGGAATTATAGGTACAAATTAAATACCTGACTCTATAATAGCTCCACAGTATCTGGAATCCCATTATGACAACGTGTTTGTGTTTGAAAAATGAGGGAAAGGAGGAAAGTAGGGGAAGAAGGGGTTTCTGAGCTGATCTTGAGAACTACAGGACAGATTTGGCTCTTATACTTCCTTTCTTTCTCCCTAACTTTGCCTTCCCAGGACAATTTCTCTTCCAAAAGAGGAATCAGGAGGAAAAAATGAGCAATCAGCTCAGTGCAGTGCTACTCCTGCCTCAGCCTTCCAATTAGCATGGGGACTGCACGTGGCTAAGTGTCACTATTTTTTGTAGCGGCAAAGTGTCACCATGTTGCCTAGGCTGGTCTCAAACTCCTAGCCTCAAGCAATCCTCCCACCTTTGCCTCCCAAAGTGTTGTGTTACAGGCATGAGCCATGGCACCTTGACAAAAATGGCGTTTAAACTTCAAGTCATGTCCCAAGTAAGTTGGCATTTTCTTCTGTGAGTTTGCAGGTCTTTCTTTCAGCACCTTGCTGCCTCATAGAGACCCTGTTAGGGTCTTAGTCCTTCTTTCTCCCTTTCCGGCAAATGGAAGACCAAAAGGGATGGCTAAAGTAGCCGAATGCCCTCTCTCAACGTTCTTCTCCACTTACCCATCATGTATTTATTCACTGCAAGCTTTGTGCCTACGATTCTCTGAATAACTCTGGTGGCTCAGAAGTGTACTGTCTGTAGGGAAAAAGGGAGCTATCCCTGAGAGGCACGTAAGATGATGAGCGATGGATGCCTTGTTACGAGGTACCATGCCCCAGATAGCTTTAGCCTTCTCTGAATACCTTTGAGCTCTAGCTTGCAGTGTATCCTAGAAGATGATTTTGTTCTTAAAGGATGAGGTCTGGTCAATGGGGACAGGAAATTTGCCATGAGGAATTAAGATTCCCTGGGAGTAGTGAGGTCCTATTTCAAAATAGTATTGTGACCACATCTGTGGAATGCTGGAGTCTTTTCCTATTTACAGATAACCAAAAAAAAAAAAAAAATGCATTTTGTTAGGATAGAATCAATTTTGGGGAAAAAATAATGAAAGTTTTAGGAACAAAGTGGTATTTAGGAGGGTTGAAGCCATTAGATGAAGAAAATAGGCTCTTTTAAATAGAATATATCTGCATTGTGGTTTTTTTTAAAAAAAGCTTTCAGAAGAGTAAACAGTAAGAAGTACTGCCGCCTCGATCCAGTTCTCTCCCTAAAGCTGATTAACTTTTCATTGTGAAATCATTGTAAACTCACAGTAAGTTGCAAAAATAGTACCTTTCACCCAGCTTCTCCCAGTGGTGACATTCTACATGCCAAGAGATTGATATTGGTGCAGTACTGATGACTAGACTACAGACCTTATTCAGATTTTACCACTTTTAACATGTACTTGTTCATTTTATTAGGTTTTTGCCATTACACTCATGATATTGAATACCTTAATCCAGGAATAGGATGTGTGTTTCAATTCGTTCAGGCCTTTTAAGTCCATTGGTAGGGTTTTCAAAGTTGTCATAAAGGTCTTGTTGAGTATATTACTAGATTTTTTCATCTTTGTTATTGTAAATGGTATCATTTTACTCTTCCTATTTTCTATATATTTTATATGGTGTATTTATTAGTCTGTTCTCACACTGCTACAAAGAAATACCTGAGACTGGGGAATTTATAAAGAAAAGAGGTATAATTGGCTCATACTTTTGCAGGCTGCATAGGAAGCATAGTAGTGGCTTCTGCTTCTGGGGAGACCACAGGAAATTTCCAATGGGGGGAATGCAAAGGGGGAACGAAGAGTCTCACATGGCAGAACCACAAGCAAGAGAAAGGTGTGGGGGGTGCTGCATTCTTTTAAATGACTAGATCTCACAAGAACAAACTATCCTGAAGACAGTACCAAGGGGATGGCGCTAAACCATTCCTGAGAAACCAACCCCTTGTTCCAGTCACCCCCCAACCAGGCCCCACCTCCAACATTGGCGACTGCAATTCGACATGAAATTTGATGAGGACACAGATCCAAACCATATCAGTGTATTACTTATTTTTTTGGTTCATATAATATTGCTTTATGTAAATATAACATTACCTATTTCACTCTTACTGTCACATAGTTTTTTTTGCCTTAATTTTGGCTATTATAACCAATGCTATCCTGATACATTTTTCAGCTGATTTTCACACTCATCTGTAATTATTTCCTTAGGATCCATTTCTATATATTTTTCTTTCCAATTATATTGGAGCATTTTAAACTTAGTTGATCTCTCACTATTTAAAAAATTACACCATTTGGATGGAACACCAGTGGGGATATATTATAATTTGAGTGTAGGTCTAAGTAGCCTGTAACGTTTGCCTACTGTGTGATCTAAGTACTGCAGGAAATAATCACTTTAAATTCATATGCTCTTAAAAACACACCTAACAAAAAATGATACACTTGAAAATGAACTTTTTTGGTTGTAGTTGCAAATTCTAACAAGCTAAAGTTAGTTACATAAAGCTTTTTCCTCTTTCTGGCTGTAAAATATGACTCAAACTTGATAACTTTTTTCCCTGTGATGTGTTGGTTTGCTACAACTGCTGTAATAAAGTATGACAGACTTGGTGGCTTAAACAACAGAAATTTG